AGGGTTTAGGGTTTGGGGTTTAGGGTTAGGGTTTATAGGGTTTAGGTTTAGGTTTAGGGTTTAGGGTTTAGGGTTGAGGGTTGAGGGTTTAGGGTTTAGGGTTTAGGGTTTAGGGTTAATGTAGGGGCCTTATAGTAATTGGAATACGGTTTTGGGGTGTATGACAAGGAACCCCCAAAATGACATAGGCAATTATCAAGGCCCCTACATTAAGGCGTTTAGGGTTTGTAGGAGTTAGGATTGGGGGGCACCCTTGGGGATGGGGTTTAGTTGGACCCGCCAGGTTGGTTGTTGGGGCTTAGGTTAAGTATTCTAACCAACTCTAAGGGTCCATGTACAAGGGTTTAGGGTTTAGGGTTTAGGGCTTAGGGCTTAGAAGGGTCCATGTACCCAGATAGTATATACTTTGGCCTTAAAGTAATCCGTATATAGGTCCTTTGGGGGCCAAGGTATATGGGTGGTTGTCAAAATTAGGGTCCCTTTTTGGGTCCTTATTATAATACGGCACCTATTATTTAGGGTACCCCAAAAGGGACCATAATTTTGGCAACTACCCATATACCACTTGGGTACATGGACCCTTGGGGCAAGGCAGAGTTCTGGAGCATTGCTGAAGACCCTAAACCCTAAACCCTAAAACCTAAACCCTAAAAACTAAATCCTAAGAACTAAACCCTAAATCCTAAAAACCTAACCCTAAACCCTAGACCCTAAACCCTAAAAACTAAACCCTAAACCCTAAACCCTACACCCTAAACCCTAAAAGCTGGACCCTAAACCCTATCGGTGTTTCTTGGTGGGTTGGGCTTAGGGCACAGGCTGTGTAGGGCACAAGCGGCTCTGGAAGTCGACCTCGCGAGCTTTCTAAAGGGTCCCAGTACCTCTTATTATAGGGCTTTTGGGGTACCAAACTCTCTTCGTCAAGAACGAGGCCCCAACAAAAGTTCAAATTTTTTAGAACAGACCTAATATATAAGGCCAACAAGTTTAAAGTTCTCCAATCGGCTACGAGTATCTACTACTACTACTACTACTACTACTACTACTACGTACTACTACTGCTACTACTACTACGACTACTACTACGACGACTACGACTACGACTACGACTACAGCAACAGCAGCTGCAGCAACGGTAGCCTAAAAAGGACGGTGACGCACGGCTTTCGCTTAAATGTAACTACTCACTCAAAACGATACAAGGTCTGTGGCTAGTTTCATAGCCTACTTTTGAGGCTTTACGTCAGAATGAACGATACCAGGTCGTAGATCAATAAATGGGGTTGAACGATACCCTCGGGTGTGATTTGATGCCACATAATTACCCGTCCCTGTGAATTTGTACAATTCCACAAGCACTCGTTCCAGACACACATACGTGGCATCATTGTGTGTTAGCGGAATCCCCAAGTGCACGCTGGATCGATGCGATTCCACAAGCACCCGTTCGAGACACACCAGTCGTATCACGGCACATCAAAACCAGCCATTCCCCATGTAAATGCACCAACTCGACACACAAGTGGCAGCACAACATAGCAAAACCAGCCATTCCCCATGTAGAACAAGCACTGGTTCGAGACACGCATACGTGGCATCATTGTGTTTTAGCGGAATCCCCAAGTGCACGCTGGATCGATGCGACTAAACACAACGCGATGCGACTTAACCCTTGGACCCAGTATCTAAGCAAAAGCCGTAAATCTGGATTAGTTGGATGTTTGGCGCTGTGCAATCTTTGCAGATGTTTTCAGATGTGGTGGCGCGTTTGTGGTCGGTGCCTCCCTATTGAAAGTCTGGCGTCCGACATGGTCCGGCGACGATCTTCGGAGAATAGAGAACTCTGGAAGGGATTCTGTGAGGGTTGGTTTAGGGGTTTTAGGGCTTTTAGGGTTTAGGGTTTAGGGTTGAGGGTGTTTAGGCCTTGGGGTGTGGGGTAGAGGTTTCGGGGCCCTGAACCCTAAACCCTACTGGCTGTGGCTTTGCAGTCAGGAAGCAGCCTGTCTTACTGCCTGTGGCCCGGAAATTTAGGTGCTGAGGGGAAGATTCACGAGCTTCAGCCTCTTTGGGGTGTGGGGTTTAGGATTTTAGGTTTAGGATTTTCGGGTTTAGGATTTTAGGGTTTAAGATTTTAGGATTTTAGGTTTAGGATTTTCGGGTTTAGGATTTTAGGGTTTAAGATTTTAGGGTTTATAGTGTAGGGTTTAGGGTTTAGGATTTTAGGGTTTAGGATTTTAGGGTTTAGGGTGTAGGGTTTAGGGTTTAGGATTTCAGGGTTTAGGGTGTAGGGTTTAGGATTTTAGGGTTTAGGGTTTAGGGAGGGTACTGGGGGTTTGAAGCCTAGTCGCAACAGCCACGGCCCAAAAGAACACGATCAAAAGGTCTACTTCAAACCGGACCTCAACGCTCTCAATGGCCCGAGCACTTAAATAGCAGGTTGTTTGGGCCCACAGGAGTTGATGTATGAGTGCTTGGAGCCTGAGGGCAAACCTGCGATGCCCAAACGGCTTATCCGAACGGAATCCTTGCGGAACCCTAATCCCTCAACCCTAAACCCTAAACCCTAAACCCTGAACCCTAATCCCTCAGCCCCCCCAGTACGGCTCCTTGTAGCGGGCGATGACCGAAGAGCGCTTCCGAGTGGAATTGAACTTGATGGTCGCCAAGATCTCCACCTCCGTTCGCTTACTTGTTTAGGGTTTAGGGTTTAGGGTTCAGGGTTTAGGGTTTAGGGTTTAGGGTTTAGGGTTTAGGGTTTAGGGTTCCTCCGTTCGCTTACTTGCTTGCCAGTTTCCTAAAATTGTTAGAGCTACGCCTTCAAAGCAATGTGTGATACAAAAGGCTAAAGGTTACTTGCGGGTGCTGGATCTTGGGTTGTTGGTCTTATCGGGTTGGGAAGGGTTCAGGGTTTAGGATTTAGGGGGGTACTTGCGGGGTGTACAGTACAGCTTACTTGAAGAGCCATTAAATTCTGAACCCCAAACCGTAATCCGTAATCCCTAAACCCTAAACCCTAAGACCCTAAAGGGGACTTGTTAATTTGGTTGTTCTTGAGTCACAACGGCTCCAACTTGGGTTCTCGCACCTGTCGCCCTACCTCAATCAAAGACTTACGTAGCTACTACCCATGAGTATCCAAGTTAGGATGAGGGTAAACCGGAAACCCGAAACCCTAAACCCTAAACCCTTAACCCTAAACCCTTAACCCTAAACCCTAAACCCTTAACCCTGAACCATTAACCCTAAACCCTTAATCCTGAACCCTTAACCCTAAACCTCAAACTGGATTTTCAAGTGGATGGTGTGCGTAGGTCTTCTTGAATCCTCGGCGTTGGTGGGATAATATAGGGGCCTTAATAATTAGAACAGGGTTTTGGGGCCCATTATACTCTAAGTAGAACAAGGAACCCCCCAAAATAGTATAGGTAGTTCTCAAGGCCCCTATATAAAACGAGAGTCAAGGCTCGAGCCAGCTCTTGTCTCCCTGTGGTACACAGGACGCCTAATACCCAATACTCCTCAACTACGGAATCGACCTTAGTTAGACAGTAAGAGAAAGACCCGTAGCAAGGGGTGCGAGCAAGCCCCACCCCGATAGTTGAAGGTAGATGGCTGAATTACGGCATAAAACACTATTAGAAACTATACCTGTCTACTATACCTAAAGCCTTGGAAAGCAAACTCCTTATATTGCGCCTCATAATACTCCTCAGTCCGTATATCAATAAGTCAATGAGTATAACCCTAAGGGTCCATGTGCCCAGATAGTTTATACTTGGCCTGAAAGGAGTCCGTACATAGGTACTTCGGGGCCAAAGTATATACTAGTTGGAGAATTCCCTCGTATAGGAACCCAGCCGTGTGAGGATACTCTTAGAAGCCTTCACAAGTAATCTAGGGGCCTTAATGATTGGAATAGGGTTTGGGGGTATTTATACTATGAACTATACGAAGGAACCCCGACATAGTAGAGGTAATTATTAATAAGGTCCCTATATTCGAGTCGGGTCAGTGGTGCTGGTCATGGTTGTGGTCGTGGGCGTAGTAGTGGTAGAAGCATCAGAAACAAACAACTGTGGCATTGCCAGCCATGATGGTAAGACAACTCCAGCGCGCAGTCGATCTAGCAGCAATGGTACTGCACCAGTCTCGACGTCGTGACCATCATCACAGGTTGCCCTAAACCCTGAATCCTAGATCCTTAATGAAGCACTGCACTGCGTTGCCTTGATGATGGTCCCGTCATCCAGCTTCACCTGCACACCTTCGGAAGGGTTTAGGGGTTTACAGGTTTGGGCTTGAGGGTTCAAACCCCTAAACCCTAAACCCTAAACTTAGGACGGTGCACCGCCGAGCGAGGACTTTGGGTGTTTGGCTACAGCTCAAAGCGTCGAACGTTTAGATTGAAAACCCCAAATTAATTCGAACGATCAAACCAAAAACCGTGCATAGCTGATTCAGCAGATGAGTCTGGGTGTGGCTTTTGCTCAAAAATGCAGCAATTCTTAGCTGCATCTACGCTTTTGTCCTACGGCGTTATGCCACCTACGGACTCGAGCTAATTAGAAGCGATCTGTTAGGCTTTGGAGCTAAGGGCGGCGTGAGATTCTATGCCTGGGTGTCGACTGTTCATAGCAGAAATCAGGGAGAAACCCATACACAGCGTGCCATGGCTTCCTTTTCCTGAAGCGACGGCGCTATTGATAGGACTGATGAAGCGGAGTTAGGTTTGCAGCCTGCACCTAAGCCCTAAACCCCTAAACCCTAAACCCCTATAAACACTAGTGTTAGGCGTTGGGCTTTGCCGGCCGGGCTGCTCAACCCAAACATGGTGGATCCGAACCTCCAAACTGCAAACCCCAATGCCCTCAAACTGCTACCCGTGAACACTCTGCAGTAAATTCTTCGACTTGTACCCCTAAGACCTCGAACCACCCAAAGTAGGTACTAAGTCCAGACTTTAGACCGCAAAATAGGTGCTGTTTGTAGACTTGGAGGCTTAGGGTGCAGGTGCAGGCCAATCCAGGGCTGATGTCTTCAAGCTCGTTGGTGTCTTCACAAGTTGAGTTGGGCTTGGGGGTTGCACGAATATATTACGGCACACTTCTATGAGGGTTGAGGGATCAAGGTAGAATTGCGGGGTATGGGATTTGGGCTGGCTGGGTCTTGCGGCTGGTGTTTATACGGCTCGGGTGTATAGACTTGCATGCAAAAAGGCTCTGGTTGGTAGGACCTTATGATGATTAGGTTTCTGGAGTCAGGACTTTGGTTGACATAGTTGTACAGTGCTTACTAGGGATAAAGGTTTGGAAGGGCAACTTAACTGGTATTAAGGCTTTGGGGCCTTGGTTTGAAGAGCAAAGAAGACTGAGATAATAATATGCTTGACAGCTGGTACATCATGACCCTGATGCCGCTGAGTTGCAGTCAACTTCGGAACACTAGCACTAGTCACCCATTATCCATGTGCCACGATTCTGGAATTCACTGTGAGGGGTTGTGTTTCATCTTTGGGTTTGGTGCTTACGGGCTTGAGGTGGAAGCCTTAGGGCTTGCGGTTTACGCTCGTTAACTTTATCAAAAAGTAGCACAGGTACACCAAACAAAAATCCTAACCCTGCCCTACCGAAAACAATCAAGAGCATCTTGCGAGCTGTTCGTTGATGTTGAAAAGCTTGAGACGCACTGGGTTTAGGGTTTAGGGCGAAGAGATCTCTCAACCGTAACCCTAAGCCTGACAGATGGCATCGAATATTTTCCGGGTATCTCATCACTTGCAACTGCCTCGCGCATCTCTAGATGTCCGTCACGTGCTCGCACAAGCAGTGAAAGACTTAGACATACAACTGCTAGCCGTTGCGCTTGATCTCCGGACCACCTCCATAGCGTGACTGCAAATAACTCCACAAAGCAGGGCAGGCTTTACCATAGTCATCACCCTGCTTTATATGGGGAAGAGGGCTCCCAGAAGCGTCCACCAGGTGGTGGTTGCTGATCGGACCAGGAGGCTGACATCCGCGCAATAGGAAATCTTTCCAGGATCGCAGCCAGTGCACGCAGAGCAGGTACCACACCTCAAGGAGCAAAGCAACGCGACACCACAAACAATGCACGGATGGACTTTAGACTTTTTGGAATTGTAAGTTTCGATGTCCTGCTATACTGGCACTTCCTTGATATGCTATCGTCAAAAACCTATGCTTCTTTTATGATTCTGTGGCTTCTGTAGGGTTTGTTTGTTTGTTTCATGTACTTTACTTTCATGCCGTGAGTTCTGCATTATGGCATGTCTTTGGCTAGGGTCTTCACAATGGAGACTCTCTCTCTCTCTATCTCTGCGTCAAAAGACCCTGTGGACTGGTGAGTTAACATGCACTAGACCCTAGTCACTACTGTCTGCCTCGACCAACGCAGCAGATTGCTGACATTTGTTTGCAGCCTCAATTACGAAAACCAGATCACTCATAAACTAGACCCTAAGTGCTATAGGCAATTTGTATAACGGACTTCTGCGTTGCCACTTCGGCAAAACTTTCATAACACAGCTGCAAATATATGAGGTGCAAGCTGAGTTACAAGTGCAATGCAACTCCGACCCTCAACGAATGGCATCTTTACAGATGCCATTCGTTGGGGGTCGAAGCTGATTCTATCAGTCATCAAAGCTTGTCCTGAGTCAGAAATTGCCGCTTGCAGCAATACGAAATGAATGCCGCGCTCCCTGACGAATCACGTAAGGTCAGGATGTCAGACCAACAGTCAGGAGTCACCGAGAAAAACCGAGAAACACCAGTCGCAAGAAAGAGGATTCCTGTCATGAGCAAGGCCAGGACCTGAGCTCAGCAGTCACGACTCCGACTCCGCAGGTGAGCAAAAACAAGGCCACGGAACACCATCGGTCATCGTATTGTCGCGGCACGAAAATGCATCTTTTTGGTGGCGAGTCCGAAAACGAAGAACCGATGCGCTCGTGGTGCTTGAGAGTATCATCATACTGATTGCCTAGAATAGGCCATCTGCTGTTGTGATTGGCCGTTTGACTTGTCTCGGGGAGTCCGAGAACCAAGAACTGATGCACATTCGCGTTTGCTGTTTTCGTGGTACGACAACTGCATCCGTGAGGTCCGTTTGCCACATGTTTCATAAACTTACACGTCGTGAATCATAAATAATCCTACAAGTTACCATGAACAAATGTCTTCTTTCTGTACCAATCCCAAACTCACAACTTTGGAAACAAGTGTGAAAGCTGTGCCGACCTCACTGTGTCTGCGGTTATTCTTCAGGGCGAAGTTGGCCTCTTCCTCCCGGCGTGCTTCCATTTGCTCCTCTCAAGGCTGGGTTTTGCGGTTTAAGGTATAAAGGTAAGGTATTGTGATTTTGGAGATGCGGGCGAGGTCGGGGTCGGGAGTGGACTGATGCTTCAAAGCCGTGCCGCCGTGCCTTAGTCAGAGGCTTTGGCTGGTATCCGGTGGGTGTCGTGCACCGTCGCCAAAGAAGTTCGACCAACAGCTCCTGCTCCATGGCCGGCGTCCACCACTCCTGTTCCGCTGCCGTTTGGAAGCAAGCTTTGAAAGATCCCAGGTTGTCATGCTCGGCCGCACACGTCTGCAAAGCTACGTTGAAAGCTAGGGTCTGCAAATGAATGCACTTTTGGGCCATCGACCTGCGCAGGAACATCATGGAGCTATCACCCTGCTTTGGGGTTGCAAGGCTCGCCAGCACCAGTTCGCGGACTTCGGTGTGAGCCTTATCACACAGCTGAAGAAAGTTGCAGCCACCTGGCCCATCCACGATGGCCAGCACGTCAACCCAATCGCATGTGGTCAACTGTTGGCCGTCCACTTCTTCTGGGAATGAGCCCATATACAAATACCGAAGGAAAGCCTTTACCGCAGCAGAACTTGGGCCCACTGGAAGTGTGATGGGTACTTTTCCGCTGGAGCTTTCCCTCATAGAAGTCGTTAACATTTTTGCAAAATAGGCAGACCGTGCCGCGAGGACGCAGCGGTGCGAAGCAAACTGAGATGTCACCAGCTCTCCGCAGCAGACCCGGCAGTCAATTCTCGAATCGAGGTCCAGCGGTGTGCCATCCGCGTCGCGACTGGATTCGAAGAGCACGCCGAGATGCTGCAGCAACTTCGAAGGTGGCACCGCAATGAGCTGCGAAGCATGGCTTGGCACAACTTCAACTGCGGCGCCAGCGGCTGCAGAAACTGCACGTGCTACAGCTTCTGGATGCTCACTACCCAAGGCAGCAACCAGTGACTGGTTGAAAAGCACGGACCTTATCAAGTCACTTCCTCGCATCTTGAGAAATTTGTAGACACCGTCTTCGAGCTTCTTCGAGCCGATCCTGACGGCTGCCTGTAGCACTTCCACCACGGTCTGATCTGTCATAGAATTGCACATGTGCTGCTCGCATAAAGTCCACAGACGTCTCATCTCGCATGTGCTGTCTTCTAACCTGATCTTCTTGTTTCTGCTTTCTCCTGACACTGCATGGGGAGGATCCCGGCTCAAGCTTGCTGCAACTGTAAGTAGCTCCAACACCGGGGCTGGGTTCTCGCCAAGAGACGGAGGGAGGCCGTCCGTGTAAAGGTAGAGCAGCAGGTGCCGGAGTGCCTCTGCGCTTGCATCCGGCAGGGAGATGCTCCAAACGGATCCACCTGGCTCCTTCACCGCCTTCTCGGCGAGTTGCGGACATCGCACCTCCAGTAAAGCCAAGTGGGCAGGCACATCGCCATTCCTCCCTCGCAGGACCACATCTGCCAGCAGCCCCACATCAGAAATAGCAAGCGCTTGCAGGTCGTCATGTAGAGCTTGGTTCATGGAGGTTCGCATATATGACTACAGATACTTTCACCACTCCTCGCATGACTTCCTTGCTACTGGACAACGACAAGCTTTCTAAGTGTTTGTTGCGGATCTGATGATGGCGGCTGTTCTGCAATCTCACTTCGTGAAACAATCTTTCGCTCAGGATTCGCGCAAACCATGCTGAACCATGACGTCGGAGGATGACAGAGTGGGCAGCATCTATGAGTTTCTATCGGATGCTGCTAGTCACACCATTCACGTCACTTCAGTTCTTCATGCCGCAGGGCGGACCCAACACGTGTCTATGATGGCATTATGAAGAGACAAGCAAGCGCTATCACTGAGACAGTCTATCTGAGATTCTATTGCATGCATATACTAATCGTACTATTCCAACCAGGGCAAGTGTCGCGCTCGCTACTGCTAAGACTTGCCAGTGCTTTGCACTGCTGTCAGGAGCTATGATAGCATTATCAAGCATGAATCGGAAACCCTAAACCCTAAACCCTAAACCCATGTATCGGTGAATAGCATGAGGATTCCAACGCTGCAGTTGCAGTAGAGGCACCCCGCAGCAAGAGTCATGAAGAGAAGCATGCTACTAGTACCTCCAACAGGCCATAATCATCACGAGTTCGATATTAAACTGCGGAAAAACGGCTTATTTGCAACAGTAGCAAGGACCATCAAAATCTTGACAATGGCAGTCATGTTCTCAAAAAGCATGTGTATCCATCTTTGTAACTGTTGCAGTCAGACCACATGGCGCCGGCAACAGCAATGCACATGGCAGTTGTACTATGTCACGATTACTTCCAGTTCATAATGCGATCAAGGGCAACATAGTGCGAGTGGTTACGATCATGCAACATGTTGGTGGCACTCCGAAGTAGTGAGATGGTGAAAATCGCAAGCCGTACATATTACGTGCGATCGGCGCAATAACGGCAGGGCATGATGAGAGAACACTAGAAGGCCTGCTGCCGACATGGGGCAGTGTTTAATTATGGTGAGGAGCTTGATGAGCGCCTATAAGTAACATATCTGGTGAGTGCATTTTGCAGGTGCTTCCCCGGAAGCTAGAGAGGCATACCCTACCTCCCTGATAGCTCTGGGGTTGGGACCCTCTGCCGCGAACTGTTCCGGATCCCTTCGAACCCCAAACCATAAACCGTAACCCTAAGCCCTCTACGCCTACAAACACCAGACCTGGAACCCTAAACCCTAAACCCTACAAGCACTAAAGCCTGAACCTTCTGTCGGCCCGATGCTGCCAGCCTGACGAGTCTCTTCCGAGGAAGGTGAAGCCTGAGCCAGATTTGGTCTCAGGGCTTGTAGCCCGAAGCCCTAAGCCCGAAAAGGAACCCTTAAAGCCCTAAGCCCTAAACCCTTGAAGGAACCCTTAAAGCCCCAAGCCCTAAACCCAGCCCCCAACCCTAAACCCCTGATGATCTAATGGCTTCAAGTCTGCAAGGTCAAAAAGGCTGAAGAGTTCATGGCTTTCGAGCGTGAGGTCTGTGGCGTCTTACATGGGCTCAATAGGATGTCAGGCTCAGGGTTGCTTATGGGCGCATTCCTTGTATGAAGCTGTTATTTCTTGAGGATGCTTCAGGGGGCCTTATGGCACTTCATAAGGGATCTATATGTTTGGGTGTTTTGTTTTGGACACTACACTCTCAAGTGTAGATTCTTGATCTTATGGGGGGGTCGAGATCCTAGTTGAAATCTCCAACCCCTTGAACTTAGACGCAACCCGACACGCCAAACCTTGAGCCCTGGCTCCTGAAGCCTCCGGCCATAGGAGTTAGGATTAGGGGACCCTTCGGGATATAGACCCTCTCAATAAGGTCCCTATTTAAGAGAGCCATAAGTAGGGTCAAGAAGGGTACCCTTTAAGGGGTCTCCCTAATGCTACAAAACCCTAAACCCTAAACCCTAGGAGGCTAGGGAAGCATAGGACAAGCACAGATAGCCAACCCAGAGCTCTGAGTCTCCAGGGCTTACACTTCAGGGTCCAGGGTCTTCCTTAGGGTTACGGGTCTGGGCTGAACCTACCAGAACCGACCTTTTTTGTAGGATCCACCCAAAAAAAGATCTTAGGGTATATAATGAGAACCTACAGAAAAGGAGGCTTCGGTAGTTTAAGGTAGGGTCGAGGGCCAGAGTCTATTGTCTACCTGCAACCGAAAAGACCTACCTTTTCAAGGAACTATCTATCTATCGATCTATCTATCTATATCTATCTATCTATATATATATATAGATATATATACCTTATCCTTCCATTTTTTATATATGTAGAGACCATAATAAGGAACTCCGAAAGGGTAGGTCTTTCCCGCTACAGGTTGGGTTTCGGGGTGTATCGCCTGTAAGCAAGGACCTGATAATTAGGGCCCCAGACCCCCTTTAAGGACCCAATGCTATGGTCCTGGAAGCATAGAGTTGGGTTTCTTAGTCAGGTTCCTACAAAGAGATATCTGGAGTATTGGGGACGCACCCGGTTTTCTGTCATGGACCATGGAGGAGACCACGTGTGGCCAAATCGCTTTTGCCATTAATTTAGCCCTGAGCTCTCGTGGACCTGAGACCATAACCCCCAAACCTCGACTGCGCTTATTACTCCGTATAGGCTTATTACACCTTAACTCTCCGACGAAGTCGTCTGGATATCTTCGGGGAGGTCTTGGTAAAGACTGAGCCTACGAACCCCCAAGCCGATAAGCCCGCGCTCACGAAACCCTGCAGTCAAGCCACCGAAATGCATTGCCCCGTAGCACAGCGCCGCCTAGCCATTGAGCGGCTTTCAAGGCAAGCTTGCTTTAATTTAAGTCTTCGCGGGGTCTGCCTGTCTGTCTGTCTGTCTGCCTGTCTGTCTGTCTGTCTGTCTCTGTCCACCTAATAAGTCAACCTATCTATCATTCTGTCTATCTCTCTATCTTAGATAGGTAGATAGATAGATAGATAGATAGATAGGTAGATAGATAGATAGATAGATAGATATAGATAGACAGATAGACAGATAGATAGATCGATGAATAGATCGATGAATAGATAGATAGATCGATAGATCGATCGATAGATAGATCGATAGATACATCGATAGATAGATCGAGAGATAGGTCGATAGAAAGATCGATAGATAGATAAACAATTAGATAGGCAGGTAGGCAGGTAGGCAGGTAGGCAGGTAGGCAGGTAGGTAGGGAGGGAGGTAGGTAGGTAGGTAGGTAGGTAGGGAGGTAGGTAGGTAGGTAGGTAGGTAGGTAGGTAGGCAGGCAGGTAGGTAG